GCAGGGAAACCAGTACTGAGGCTAGTACAGTGGTGCAGTGAGAGATGCTGGACTCTGGTGGTCACAGTGGAGGTGGAGACAAGAAGATAGACACAAAATACGTTCTGGAGGTGAGCCAGGAATGAGGTGCAAGGCCACATGCATCACATGCATAGCTAAAGGCTTTCTCTCCCCACCCACAGTCACAACTTACTCTTACCTCCAAATCCATATATACTGCACTAATGGCCACCTTGATGCCTTGTCTATAGATAGTCTTCTGGTCCTTTCTCAGCATCTGCTCAGTGGTCAGTCCTAGAAAGCAGATGTGAGACTAGGGGTCAAACAGGGGAGGTCAGGTTCCCAAGACCAAGAAGGCAAGGGCAGCCAGATGGGTGAAGAAAGGAAAAATAGCCTCTCTTTGGGGCAATGAATGGGGGAGACAATTGAAAATGTAATCATAGCTGGGTGCGGTGGCTCAGGCCTGCAATCCCAGCAATTTGGGAGGCTGAGGTGGGCAGATCACCTGAGGTCGGGAGTTCGGGACCAGCCTGGCCAACATGGTGAAACTCTGTCTCTACTAAAAATATAAAGAATTAGCTGGGTGTGGTGGTGGGCGCCTGTAATCCCAGCTACTCAGGAGGGTGAGGCAGGAGAATCACTTGAACCTGGACTCCATCTCAAAAAAAAAAAAAAGAAAAACAGAAAATGTAATCACATAATCAAAAGCCATCTTAAATAATTGGTGACAATAGGTACCTTTACAGCAAGGAACTTCGGAGAGAAGAATAAAACCCAGCACACAGGCTTTTACTTTGTATTTTCCCTCTTCCTATACTGTTTATATGCGAGTTCTTTCTTTCATTTTTCCTTTTCATGTCAACAGGTGGTAGATGAGTAGAAGAATACGGTTTTTTTTTGGTTCTCTTCGTCTTTTGTATACTCACAAAATATTTCTTTAGCCTCCCTAACCAGTTCTACAGATTTCACTCTGATAATTTAGTATACTCTCAGCATATTTTATATATATGTCCTATATTCTCTGAATAGACTAGAACCTATGAGGCTCTTTTTGTTTTTCTTGAGACGGAGTTTTGCTCTTGTTGCCCAAGCTGGAGTGCAATGGCGCGATCTCGGCTCACTGCAACCTTCGCTTCCTGGGTTCAAGCGATTTTCCTGCCTCAGCCTCCCAAGTATATAGGATTACAGGCACACACCATCATGCCTGGCTAATTTTTCGTATTTTTAGTAGAAACAGCGTTTCACCATGTTAGCCAGGCTGGTCTTGAACTCCTGACCTCAGGTGATCTGCCCACCTCGGCCTCCCAAAGTGCTGGAATTGCAGGCGTGAGCCACTGCGCCCAGCCCTTGTGAGGCTCTTAATACATTCCTCCTCATCCTAACCAAGAGCCAGGATAGAACAATCCAGTAAATGATTGATTAGTTCATGCTTAGGCTAATATGCTACTTCATTTCTCTCTGGCATAAAATTTAAATAATTGGCCAGGCACGGTGGCTCATGCCTGTAATCCCAGCACTTTGGGAGGCCCAGGCGGGCAGATCATCTGAGCTCAAGAGTTCCGAGACCAGCCTGGTCAACATGGTGAAATCCGATCTCTACTAAAAATACAAAAATTAGCTGGGTGTGGTGGTGGGCGCCTGTAATCCCAGCTACTCGGGAGGCCGAGGCAGGAGAATCGCTTGAACCCAGGAGGTGGAAGTTGCAGTGAGCTGAGATTGTGCCACTGCACTCCAGCCTGGGTGACAGAGCAAGACTCTGTCTCAAAAAAAATAAAAATAATGGCTGCATGCGGTGGCTCACGCCTGTAATCCCAGCACTTTGGGAGGCCGAGGTGGGCGGATCATGAGGTCAGGAGATCAAGACCATCTTGGCTAACACAGTGAAACCACATATCTACTAAAAATACAAAAAATTAGCCAGGCGTGGTGGCGGGCGCCTGTAGTCCCAGCTACTTGGGAGGCTGAGGCAGGAGAATGGCATGAACCTGGGAGGTGGAGCTTGCAGTGAGCCGAGATCGCACCACTATACTCCAGCCTGGGCGACAGAGTGAGACTCCATCTCAAAAAAAAATAAAAATAATATAATGAACAAGGCTTGCCTTTCTGTTTTCTCATCTGAGAAGTAGAAAAGTCAGCTAACATTTCATACCTGATATATCAAACTTTGCCTTTTGTAGGGAATCAAATATATCATTTCTCTTGGGTAGGTCTGGGAAAAGGGCTTCTAGTTTCTCCACATATTTGCTGTCCTTTGGGGTTGCCTTTCCAATTTTAAGGTCCATGTTGACACAGTCCAGGATGATGGTTCCTGTGGAGAAGGGAGATGGTGGAACTTGAATCCTGTGACCCTCCACACATGACCACCAGAATATATATAACCTTCACACCAAATGGACACAATACAAGGAGATTTGTATAGCAAAATCTCTAAAAGCAAAATGAGAAACTGGGATGGACTGTGTCCTCAGACCTTCCAAATCCAAACTAAGATGTAGGAAGGGAAATGGAAAAAAGGTAGAAAGAAAGCCTGAGCATCTCAATCCTTGGAGACTTTACAGCCTAGTCAGACAGAGATACACCTCTTTAGTAGGTTAAATCCCAGCAAAGAATCTTCTAAGTTGAAAAGACAGTCTAGTCCAACTCACTCTCTCTCTTTTTTTCACAAGTGGAAAAACGAGAACAAGAAAGGTTAAGAGACCTGTTCAAGGTCACCCCTCTATTTCCTGGAGGAACTGGTATTGTAATCTGTTTCCTGCTTTTTTGGCTAGTCCTCCTTCCATCATAAAATGATGCCAACAGGAAGCTTCTTGGTCTGTTGCCCTGTACTTCCTTTCTACTTTCTCCAACCAGTATCCCACAGGCCTTTAAACAGATACTTAATTGTCCGCCGAAAGAATCCTATCTTTTGGTATGAGCTGAATGGCTCTGAGAGCATATGGTTAGGCTGGAAGTGTCTAGACTTTTCCACCCTCCCTTCTCAGGGATAGGAATAGAACTACTCGGGTCCCAATCCAAAAGCCACCCTTACCATGCAGAAGGGCTGCAGTTTGCCTGTCCAAGATCTCTGGTGCCCCCTGCAGGATTCTCTCAGTCACCAGGGTAGCGCAAGACCCCACCAGCTCAACTGAAACATGGCAGGGAGGGCAGTGTTTCTGCTCGATGGGTCGATGGTCTAGCACCTCTGCTACTGCCTCCTCTAGGGCTGTGTCACTTCTGTGGAGGGGAGGGTATGGGAAAAGAGAAAGAAAGATAGGTAGGTAGGGACACTCCAGCTGCTTCTAGCCAACCTCTATGCCACCCATCAAGGAAAATGCAGATGTCTTAGGCAAGCTTATTTATTTTTTTTTTTTGACACAGTTTCACTCTTGTCGCCCATGCTAGAGTGCAATGGTGCATTCTTGGCTCACTGCAACCTCTGCATCTCAGGTTCAAGCGATTCTCTTGCCTCAGCCTCCTGAGTAGCTGGGATTACAGGCGCCTGCCAACACGCCCAGCTAATTTTTTTGTATTTTGAGTAGAGACGGGGTTTCATCATGTTGGCAAGGCTGGTCTCGAACTCCTGACCTCATGTGATCTGCCAGGCAACCATTTAAAACTGACCTTTGGTCATTTTTACCTCTGCCTCACTCCTCTCAATTCTTTTGTTTTTTTTTTGAGATGGAGTCTCACTCTGTTGCCCAGGCTGGAGTGCAGTGGCACGATCTTGGCTCCTGCAACCTCCGCTGCCCGGGTTCAAGTGATTCTCCTGCCTCAGCCTCCTGGGTAACTGGGATTACAGGCGCAGGCCACCAAGCCTGGCTAATTTTTTTTTTTTTTTTTTTTTTGTATTTTTAGTAGAGATGGGGTTTCATCGTGTTGGTCAGGCTGGTCTCAAACTCCTGACCTCGTGATCTGCCCGCCTTGGCCTCCCAAAGTGCTGGGATTACAGGCATGAGCCACCGCACCCGGCAATTCTTTTCTTCAATGTTATAATTGGCGTCATCTTTAAATAGTGTATAAGCAAATTCTGTGAAGCATCTGCTGCAAATATCTTACCCCCACATTTGCTGTCCTTTAGCTTTGCCTTTCCAACCCTTCACCCTTGACATCCTTGATACCCGACATCTAAATCTCTCCTTTTTTTTTTTTTTTTTTTTTGAGACAGAGTCTTGCTCTGTCACCCAGGCTGGAGTGCAGTGGTGAGATCTCATCTCACTGCAACCTCCGCCTCCCAGGTTCAAGCAATTCTCCTGCCTTGGCCTCCCAAGTAGCCGGGAGTACAGGAGCCCACCACCAGGCCCGGCTAATTTTTGTATTTTTAGTAGAGACGGTGTTTCACCATATTGGCCAGGCTGGTCTTGAACTCCTGACCTTGTGATTCGCCCACCTCAGCCTCCCAAAGTGCTGGGATTACAGTCGTGAGCCACCGTGCCTGGCAAATCTCTCCTATTTTTATAACCCACTCAATACTTAGATTCCATGTGGGTCACCAGGTCCTGTGAATTCTATCTTAATTCCTATCCATGCCCTAGTTTCTAACTCTCTGTTACTGCCCGTTCTAGGCCCTCAACATCTCTCGTCTGGACTATTCCAATAGTCTCTTAACCAATCACCTGCTTCTAACCAAGAGCCCTCCCGGGCTGTCCTTCACAAAGTGGCCTGAAAGATCATTTGAAAAAAGAAAATCTGATTCTTTTAGGAAACAGAATATAATTTAAAATAGTTCCCCACTGCCTAAAATAAAATCCAATCTCCTTAGAAGGGCCTATGAGGCCTCCATAATCTGCCTCCTGCCTGCCCCTCTGTCTCATCTTCTTCCATGTCCTACTTCTGCCTCAAATTTTATGCTCCAGCTGTGCAAAACAAATTCCATTTCCCCTAGCTCACCATGCTATTTCACACCTGCCTGCATTTAATTCTATTAATTACTCCCTCTGCCTGGAATGCCTTTCCTAACCACCTTCCCTCCTCCCTCCCAATTCACCAAGCAAACACCTAGTCCTCTTTCAAGACTGAGATCAGTGCTCACTTCAGCAGCACATGTGCTAAAATTGGAATGATACAGAGAAGATTAGCATGGTCCTTGGGCAATGATGACCCGCACATTTGTGAATTTTTCCATAAAATATGTGTGTGTGTATATAAATAAAAAATAAAGGCCAGGTGCAGTGGCTCACGCCTGTAATCCCAGCACTTTGGGAGGCTAATGCAGGTGGATCACAAGGTCAGGAGATGGAGACCATCCTGGCTAACATGAAACCCCATCTCTACTAAAAATACAAAAATTAGCCAGGTATGGTGGCGGGAGCGCCTGTAGTCCTAGCTACTCAGGAGGCTGAGGCAGGAGAATGGTGTGAACCCGGGAGGTGGAACTTGCAGTGAGCCAAGATTGTGCCACTGCACTCCAGCCTGGGCGACAGAGCAAGACTACGTCTCTTTAAAAAAAAAAAAAATTGGCCAGGCCGGGCATGGTGGCTCACGCCTGTAATCCCAGCACTTTGGAAGGCTGAGGCAGGCGGATCACTTGTGGCCAGGAGTTCAAGACCAGCCTTGCCAACACGGTGAAACCCTGTCTCTACTAAAAATACAAAAAATTAGCTAGACGTGGTGGCACATGCTTGTAATCCCAGCTACTTGGGAGGTTGAGGCAGGAGAATCACTTGAATCTGGGAGGCTCACTGCAGTGGCTGAGATGGCGCCACTGCACTCCAGCCTGGGCAACAAGAACAAAACTCAGGTTCAAAAAAAAAAAAAAGCCAGGAATGATGCTTTTACACAGGAGGCTGAGGCAGGAGGATTCCTTGAACCCAGGAGCTCAAGGTTATGATGATGCCGCTGCACTCCAGCCTATGAGACAGAGCGAGAGACACACCATCTCTTAAAAAAAAAAAAAAAAAAAAAAGTGGTGGCAGAGTGGCTCACGCCTGTAATCCCAGCACTTTGGGAGTCTTAGGGTGGATGGATCACCTCAGGTCAGGAGTTCAAGACCAGTCTGACCAACATGGTGAAACCCCCTTCTCTCCTAAAAATACAAAATTAGCCGGGCATGGTGGCACATGCCTATAATCCCAGCTACTTGGAGGCTGAGGCAGGAGAATTGCTTGAACCCAGGAGGCAGAGGTTGCAGCGAGCCGAGATCGTGCCGTTGCTCTCCTGTCTAGGCAACAGCAAAACTCCATCTCAAAAAAAAAAGAAAAAAAAGGAAAGTTTATTACTGAATGAATCCATAGATGGATAATGCTCTCTCAGGCTGCCTTCTGTCAGTATCCTGCTATAACCACAATGTGCTCAAGAACAGAATATTAGCAGGAGCCAAACAGACTTAGGAAAGTCACATACTCGTGTTGCTTTTTTGGTCTTTTTTTTCCAGTAGTAAATTAGGGATGGAATTATTATAAATGTGTACATTTGTTAAATAGACATTATTATTTATAGAATTTAAAAAAAAATTTTTTTTGAGATGGAGTTTCGTTCTTGTTGCACAGGCTGGAGTGCAATGGCATGATCTTGGCTCACTGCAACCTCTGGCTTCCGGGTTCAAGCAATTCTCCTGCCTCAGCCTCCTGAGTAGCTGGGGCTATAGGCAGGCGCCACCACGTCCGGCTAATTTTGAATTTTTAGTACAGACGGGGTTTCTCTATGTTGGTCAGGCTGGTCTTGAACTCCTGACCTCAGGTGATTCTGCCCGCCTCAGGCTCCCAAAGTGCTGGGATTACAGGTGTGAGCCACCACGCCCGGCCTGGCACCTCAGGTGATTCTGCCCGCCTCAGGCTCCCAAAGTGCTGGGATTACAGGTGTGAGCCACCACGCCTGTGCCTGGTTAATTTTTTTTTTTTTTTTTTTTTTTTTGAGACAGAACATTGCTCTGTCGCTCAGGCTGGAGTGCAGTGGTGCGATCTTGGCTCACTGCAACCTCCGCCTCCCAGGTTCAAGCGATTCTCCTGCCTCAGCCTCCCGAGTAGCTGGGACTACAGGCACGAGCCACCAAGCCCAGCTATTTTTTTTTTAAGACGGAGTCTCACGTCTCACTCTCTCGCCCAGGCTGGAGTGCAGTGGCACAATCTCGGCTCACTGCAAGCTCCGCCTCCCGTATTCACACCATTTTCCTGCCTTAGCCTCCGGAGTATTTGGGACTATGGGCGCCCACCAACCACGCCTGGCTAATTTTTTGTATTTTTTAGTAGAGACGGGGTTTCACTGTGTTAGCCAGGATGGTCTTGATCTCCTGACCTCGTGATCCACCCGCCTCAGCCTTCCAAAGTGCTGCGATTACAGGCGTGAGCCACCATGCCTGGCCTGAGATATTTATTAATTTTACATTATTCTAATAATACATTATTCTAAAATCATGAGTTTATGTAGAAAAACTTTTGCTAACTTTTTGTGTGCTTTTTATTTTTATTTTTATTTTTTTGTAGAGACAGGATCTCACCATCTTGCCCAAGTTGGTCTTGAACTCCTGGGCTCAAGCACCCCTCCTACTTCATCCTCCCAAAGTGCTGGGTTTACAGGTGTGAGCCACCACACCTGGCCCTTTTGATAACTTAAAAAAAATTTTTTTGGAGACAAAGTCTTGCCCTGTCACTCAGGCTGGAGTACAGTGATGTGATCATAGCTTACTGCAGCCTTGATTCCTGGGCTCAAGTGATCCTACCACCTCAGCCTCCTAAGTAGCTGGGACTATAGGCATGCACTATTGCACCTGGCAAATTTTTTTATTTTTAATAGAGACAAGGTCACACTATGTTTATGGATTTTTGTATTTATTATTTTTTTTTAGAGAACAGGGTCTCGCTATATTGGTCAGACAGGTCTCCCTAAGTGCTGGGATTACAGGCGTGAGCCAACACACCAGGCTACTTTTTAAAAATTAAAAATAGGCCAGACATTGTGGCTCACACCTGTAATCCCGCCACTTTGGGAGGCCAAAGCGAGCGGATCATCTGAGGTCAGGAGTTCCAGGCCAGCCTGGCCAACAGCGCAAAACCCCATCTCTAGTAAAAAATATGAAAATTAGCTGGGCATGGTGGCACGCACCTGTAATCCCAGCTACTTCGGAGGCTGAGGCAGGGAGAATAGCTTGAACCCGGGAGGCAGAGGTTACAGTGAGCCAAGATCACATCACTGCACTTCAGCCTGGGTAACAGAGCGAGACTCCATCTCAAAAAAATAAATTAATTAAAATTAAAATTAAAAATAGAGTTGCAGGCCAGGTGTGGTGGCTCACACCTATAATCCAACACTTAGGGAGGCAGAGGCAGGAAGACAGAGTGAGCCTAGGAATTTAAGAGCCGCCTGGGCAATATAGCAAAACCCTGTTCTCTAAAAAATTTTAGTAACTACAAAAACAAATAATGTTAAAAAAAGAAAAAAAGAAAATTGCAAACATGTTTCAAAGGTTTCTATTACAATAAATCTGTCTCAGAATCTTTTTTTTTTTTTTTTTTTTTTGAGACAGGGTCTCTCTCTGTCTCCCAGGCTGGAGTGGAGTGGTGTGATCTTGGCTCACTGCAGGTTCGACCTCCTGGGCTCAAGTGATTCTCCCACCTCAACCTCCCGAGTAGCCTCCCGAGTAGCTGGGACCATAGGCATGCACCGCCTAATTTTTAAAATTTTTTTGTAAAGACATGCTTTTGCCATGTTGCTCAGGCTGGTCTTGAACTCCTGGAGCTTAATGGATCTGGTTGCCTTGGCCTCCCAAAGTGCTGGGATTACAGGCGTGAGCCATCGCACCCAGCACACAAAATCTTAAATAATGATACCAAAGGCAGATTTAAATGATTTTTGAGTTATCCTTTAGTTTGAACTCAACATGTTCTATTTCTTTTTATTACAGGGTATGTCTTTATGCCATAGACAAACATATAACTGCAGAACTGACAATATTTTGTGTTGTTCTTCTATATCTAATATGACCTATCAATTATGATTAGCCTGTGAGATCCCTGAAAGCAAAAACTCTTTTTTTTTGAGATGCAGTCTCGCTCTATCACCCAGGCTGGAGTGCAGTGGCACAATCTTGGCTCACTGCAACCACCACGCCCAGCTAATTGTATTTTTAGTAGAGATGGGGTTTTGCCATGTTGGCCAGGCTGGTCTCCAACTCCTGACCTCAGGTGATCCACCCACCTCGGCCTCCCAAAGTGTTGGGATTACAGGCGTGAGCCATCGCGCCCAGCCAGCAAAAACTCTTTCTTCCTCTCTTTATATCTCACTCATCAGAGCCCAACATGGTACATGATAAGTAGCAATTTAATTTCCTTGTGCTTACTTGGGTAAGATATGATGGTCGACAAGGATGAGGGTGAGTTGGCCAGCCTGGTGTAATGCATGGAGGTCAATCTCATCCCGAAAAATCAAGATACTCTCTGGAATATGAACCTTCTGAAGAAAGAAGACAATGTCACCTCGCAGAGGTAGCTCAGAACGTTTTATATTTAAAACTGGCACAAAGACTTCCTCGGCCTCAGTTGTCTAGATAGGAAAGTGAAAAGAAGGCATCACAATGTTTTACAATGACAGGAAAAAGTAACAAGACTATTGGGACCAAAAGAGATAGACTTAGGTAAGTTACCACCTTTCTCAAAGCCACAAGTACCCAGTCTATAAAAATGAAAGGATGACTTTTGCCCTCCCTCCTTAGCGATAACATGAAGGTCAACAAGGTAACTCATGGTAAAGACCTAGTTCTAGATGCAATGCTGCAGAGAGGGAATAGTCCTCAAGAACTAACCTGGGCAGAGGAATACACACTAGATCACTGATACCTATAAGGAACTCAGTAATAAACTGTTTGAATATCGCTTTATGGTTTACAAATCCCCCAAAATACATTTACTCACTTTTTTTCTCACAGCAACACTGCAAAATATCATTTTAGATTTTATAGATGGTGGCATGAGACTCAGCAAACTTAAGGGATTTAAATTTACCCAATGCTAAATGCTGGTAAGTGGCAGAGCTGGGTCTTTAATCCAGATCTTTTCATTCTAAGGGACTCAGATTCTAGGTACTACTTTGTTTTACCCACCTTTGCTAGGTAAAAAGCCAGGGCGAGAGCAGACACCACAGAGTCCAAATCACAGGCTTCATTTCCCAGCACAACATGTAGAGGTCGGGACTCCTGGA